AGCAACAACAAGTGGGAGAGTGGCTAATTATGTAAGTATACATTTACTGATGTCAGCAAAAACAAAAGGAAGAAAAGCTAATTATGTAAGCATACATTTACTGATGTCAGCAACAACAAGAAGAAAAATAGCTAATTATATAAGTATACATTTAATGATGTCAGCAACAACAAGTGGGTGAATAGCTAATTATATAAGTATAGATTTAATGATGTCAGCAACAACAAGTGGGTGAATAGCTAATTATGTAAGTATACATTTACTGATGTCAGCAACAACAAGAAGAAAAATAGCTAATTATATAAGTATACATTTACTGATGTCAGCAACAACAAGGAGAAGAACATCTAATTATGTAAGTATACATTTAATGATGTCAGCAACAACAAGTGGGTGAATAGCTAATTATGTAAGTATACATTTACTGATGTCAGCAACAACAAGAAGAAAAATAGCTAATTATATAAGTATACATTTACTGATGTCAGCAACAACAAGGAGAAGAACATCTAATTATGTAAGTATACATTTAATGATGTCAGCAACAACAAGTGGGTGAATAGCTAATTATGTAAGTATACATTTACTGATGTCAGCGACAACAAGAAGGAGAACAGCTAATTATGTAAGTATACATTTAATGATGTCAGCAACAACAAGTGGGTGAATAGCTAATTATGTAAGTATACATTTACTGATGTCAGCAACAACAAGGAGAAGAACAGCTAATTATGTAAGTATACATTTACTGATGTCAGCAACAACAAAAAGAAGTATAGCTAATTATGTAAGTATACATTTACTGATGTCAGCAACAACAAGTGGGTGAATTGCTAATTATGTAAGTATACATTTAATGATGTCAGCAACAACAAGTGGGTGAATAGCTAATTATGTAAGTATACATTTAATGATGTCAGCAACAACAAGTGGGTGAGTAGCTAATTATGTAAGTATACATTTAATTATGTCAGCAACAACAAGTAGGAGAACAGCTAATTATGTAAGCATACATTTAATGATGTCAGCAACAACAAGAAGAAGAATAGCTAATTATGTAAGTATACATTTAATGATGTCAGCAACAACAAGTAGGAGAACAGCTAATTATGTAAGCATACATTTAATGATGTCAGCAACAACAAGTAGGAGAACAGCTAATTATGTAAGTATACATTTAATGATGTCAGCAACAACAAGTAGGTGAATAGCTAATTATGTAAGTATAGATTTAATGATGTCAGCAACAACAAATGGGTGAATAGCTAATTATGTAAGTATACATTTACTGATGTCAGCAACAACAAGAAGGAGAACAGCTAATTATGTAAGTATACATGTAATGATGTCAGCAACAACAAGTGGGTGAATAGCTAATTATGTAAGTATACATTTACTGATGTCAGCAACAACAAGGAGAAGAACAGCTAATTATGTAAGTTTACATTGACTGATGTCAGCAACAACAATGAGCAGAACAGCTAATTATGTAAGTATACATTTCCTGATGTCAGCAACAACAAGGAGAAGAACATCTAATTATGTAAGTATACATTTAATGATGTCAGCAACAACAAGTGGGTGAATAGCTAATTATGTAAGTATACATTTAATTATGTCAGCAACTACAAGTGGGTGAATAGCTATGTTAGTATACATTTACTGATGTCAGCAACAACAAAAAGAGGTATAGCTAATTATGTAAGTATACATTTACTGATGTCAGCAACAACAAGTGGGTGAATTGCTAATTATGTAAGTATACATTTAATGATGTCAGCAACAACAAGTGGGTGAATAGCTAATTATGTAAGTATACATTTAATGATGTCAGCAACAAGTGGGTGAGTAGCTAATTATGTAAGTATACATTTAATGATGTCAGCAACAACAAGTGGGTGAATAGCTAATTATGTTAGTATACATTTACTGATGTCAGCAACAACAAGAAGAAGAATAGCTAATTATGTAAGTATACATTTAAAGATGTCAGCAACAACAAGTAGGAGAACAGCTAATTATGTAAGCATACATTTAATGATGTCAGCAACAACAAGTAGGAGAACAGCTAATTATGTAAGTATACATTTACTGATGTCAGCAACAAGAAGTAGGAGAACAGCTAATTATGTAAATATTTATTTACTGATGTCAGCAAAAACAAGTAAGAGAACAGCTAATTATGTAAGTATACATTTACTGATATCAGCAACAAGAAGTAGGAGAAAGCTAATTATGTAAGTATACATTTACTGATGTCAGCAACAAGAAGTAGAAGAACAGCTAATTATGTAAGTATACATTTAATGATGTCAGCAACAACAAGTAGGAGAACAGCTAATTATGTAAGTATTCATTTACTGATGTCAGCAAAAACAAGTAAGAGAACAGCTAATTATGTAAGTATACATTTAATGATGTCAGCAACAACAAGTAGGAGAACAGCTAATTATGTAAGCATACATTTAATGATGTCAGCAACAACAAGTAGGAGAACAGCTAATTATGTAAGTATACATTTAATGATGTCAGCAACAACAAGTAGGAGAACAGCTAATTATGTAAGTATACATTTAATGATGTCAGCAACAACAAGTAGGAGAACAGCTAATTATGTAAGCATACATTTAATGATGTCAGCAACAACAAGTAGGAGAACAGCTAATTATGTAAGTATACATTTAATGATGTCAGCAACAACAAGTAGGAGAACAGCTAATTATGTAAGTATACATTTAATGATGTCAGCAACAAGAAGTAGGAGAACAGCTAATTATGTAAGTATACATTTACTGATGTCAGCAACAAGAAGTAGGAGAACAGCTAATTATGTAAGTATACATTTACTGATGTCACCAACAACAAGGAGTATAATACTATTTCTTCAGGAAGGTTTTATTTGATTCTGAAATAGTTATTATTTCATTGTTGCAATACTGATGGTTAAATAGTTGAGATGCATTCTGTGTTCATTTCTCTTTCATTTGATATACTATATGTCCTAAACAGCCAATACTTCTGGAAATGTTTTGCTTTGTAGCAGTAAATGTCTTGGCAAGGTGCATAACTCTGTTTGCCAACCTGACTCAGTATACCCCAGCTGGTGTTCATATCTGAAGTCAAAACTGTTTTATTAGGCGTATCATAATGCTAATTCCTCTTAAATTCGCTTTTCTTCTGGAATCTAGAGAAACGTGTTGCCCACATGTGGGAGAAACCTTTCTATGTTTCTTTGTTCTCCAAACTAACCACTTTTATGCTCTGGTATGTTCATGTATGTAAATATATTATATATATCTGCTGATTTTTATAATGTTTATTTGATACCAGAAGCTTGTATTGGTGTATTTGATTGATATAATTATGTCTAATAATAAATACTGTAGGTCTCATGTGGAATCTCCGGCCAGTCTAAAATCTATATCATGAATGAAGAAAAATATACAGACTATAACTATGTGCTTACAATCTGGACTTAGTCACTTGACTTATTTAAATAATGCGGACACAAACAATAAATTGCACAATTTATTGCCAGGCACATTTCACTGTATCTCACCAGGTGTGATACTACAGAGTTACATCAACATAAAAAGAAGCACTTATTATGCTCATCGCTGTCTATGAAGTTATAGTGAAAATCTAACCGTGGCCTGTCTATGTAGTTACATAAAAGTCTAGCTGACTCTGCTCTATGTAGTTTCAGTGAAAGTATAGATGACAACTGCCTATGGAGTTACAGTGAAAGTCTAGTTGACCCCTGTCTATATAGTTACAGTGCAAGTCTAGTTTACCCGTCTATGTAGCTACAGTGAAAGATTAGCCGACCCATTTTTATGTAGCTACAGTGAAAGATTAGCCGACTCTTGCCTATGTATTTACAGTGAAAGTCTAGTTTACCTGTCTATGTAGCTACAGTGAAAGATTAGCCGACTCTTGCCTATGTATTTACAGTGCAAGTCTAGATTACCTGTCTATGTAGTTACAGTGAAAATCTAGCTGACCCCTTTTTATGGAGTCACAGTGAAAGCCTAGCTGACACCTGTCTATGGAGTTACAGTGAAAGTTTCAATGGCCCCTGTATATGGAGTTAGTGAAAGTCTAGTTGACCAATGCTTATGTAGGTACAGTGAAGGTCTAGTTGACCTCCTGTCTATTTAGTTACAGTAGAAGTCTGGCTGACACCTGTCTATACAGTCACAGGGAAAGTCTAGTTGAACCTTGTATATATATATATAGGGAAAGTCTAGTTGACCCCTGACTATGAAGTTACAGTAAAAGCCTAGCTGACATCTGTCTATGTAATTATAATCAAAGTCTCAGAGCCACAGATCTTTCTGTCTATTTAGTTATTTTCAAAGAGCTGGTTTTCACAGATCTATTTCTCTTTGTTAGAATCAAAGCACCTATGCTTTAGACTCACCAGTCAATAAAGCTACAACTCATGTTTAACTGATACAGTCCTTGTTGTCTTTATGGCTACATCCAGTCGTCATAGACTCATCTAACATACTAAAGCAAACATCAAGGAGACAAACTCATTAGACTATGTATTTGTAGATAATGTCACCTAACTCATTAAATAAAATATCCAGGAGACAAAGTCACTGGATTATGTGTTTGTATTCACCTAGCTCACTAAATAAAATATCAAGGAGACAAAGTCACTGGATTATGTGTTTGTAGTCACCTAACTCATTAAATAAAATATCCAGGAGACAAAATCACTGGATTATGTGTTTGTATTCACCTAGCTCACTAAATAAAATATCAAGGAGACAAAGTCACTGGATTATGTGTTTGTAGTCACCTAACTCATTAAATAAAATATCCAGGAGACAAAATCACTGGATTATGTGTTTGTATTCACCTAGCTCACTAAATAAAATATCCAGGAGACAAAGTCACTGGATTATGTGTTTGTATTCACCTAGCTCACTAAATAAAATATCCAGGAGACAAAGTCAAACGACTAAGTGTTTGTCGACACAAAGACTCACCTAACTGACTGTCTATGATAACTTTACGAGTTGATCCATCCAGGTAAGCTCTCTCTATCTTTGGCTTCTCACCCCAATCTGTCCAGAACATTAACCTGCAGGAAACATTCATTTCAATGAAACAATGGACAACCGATACAGCCCAAACCATGTAAACTGTTCAGCTGGCAGAGCAACCACACAATATAAACAGTTCAGCTGGCAGAGCAACCTGACAATGCGAACAGTTTTGCTGGTAGAGCAACCATACAATGTTAACAGTTTAGCTGGTAGAGCAATCAGACAGTGTAAACAGTTTAGCTGGTAGAGCAATCAGACAATGTAAACAGTTTTGCTGGTAGAGCAACCAGACAATGTAAACAGTTTAGCTTGTAGAGCAATCAGACAATGTAAACAGTTTTGCTGGTAGAGCAACCAAACAATGTAAACAGTTTTGCTGGTAGAGCAATCAGACAATGTAAACAGTTTTGCTGGTAAAGCAATCATACAATCAATGTAAACAGTTTTGCTGGTAGAGCAATCAGACAATGTAAACTGTTTAGCTGGTAGAGCAACCAGACAATGTAAACAGTTTAGCTGGTAGAGCAACCAGACAATGTAAACAGTTTAGCTGGTAGAGCAATCAGACAATGTAAACAGTTTTGCTGGTAGAGCAATCAGACAATGTAAACAGTTTAGCTTGTAGAGCAATCATACAATGTAAACAGTTTAGCTGGTAGAGCAATCAGACAATGTAAACAGTTTAGCTGGTAGAGCAATCATACAATGTAAACAGTTTAGCTGGTAGAGCAATCAGACAATGTAAACAGTTTAGCTGGTAGAGCAACCAGACAATGTAAACAGTTTAGCTGGTAGAGCAACCAGACAATGTAAACAGTTTAGCTGGTAGAGCAACCAGACAATGTAAACAGTTTAGCTGGTATAGCAATCAGACAATGTAAACAGTTTTGCTGGTAGAGCAATCAGACAATGTAAACAGTTTAGCTGGTAGAGCAATCAGACAATGTAAACAGTTTTGCTTGTAGAGCAATCAGACAATGTAAACAGTTCACCTGGTAGAGCAACCAGACAATGTAAACAGTTTAGCTGGTAGAGCAATCAGACAATGTAAACAGTTTAGCTGGTAGAGCAATCAGACAATGTAAACAGTTTAGCTGGTAGAGCAATCAGACAATGTAAACAGTTTTGCTGGTAGAGCAATCAGACAATGTAAACAGTAAAAGTAGAACATTCTTGCAACTAAGATAATACAATCTACCAGAACTAGGATATACTGGCATCCAAAATAAGACAATATATCAGAACTAGGATATCCTGGCACATACGGCAGACAACACAATCTACATAAAATAATACATCCTGTTATTTATTTACCCTTTTCTTGGAAATAAGGTTATTGCCCTTGGCTCAGATAGGAAGCTGTGAATGACGGTCTTTCTGCTGCTGCCATCAAGTCGGGACACTTCAATCACATCACGACCTGGACAAGAACAAGAGGGTCTCAAACTTCAAACTATTACAGTTGCAATGTATAACATCAAATTTGTATAAAGATCCTCTGGGAACCCCCCAGGTGGTAATTGTTTGTCCCACAACATTCTTATTTACTCTCTCACGACAACAGTTTGTTTGTTTGTTTGTTCAATGGATCAACATCATAGCATATGGGTGTAACCCCCAATTGCTCCATTCTTCTTCTAACTCAAGCCATTATGCAACAGCTGACGACAGTTTCATGTGATAATCATTTTTATTTCTTCATATCTATTTAGTTTTAGCAGTGTTTTTCAAAAGTACTAAATAACTGATATTAATGTTATTTTAATAAACATCTTTGATTGATTTACATTCATAGTTGAAGTTAAATGTATTTCTAGATGTGTGTATGGTGTCAGGTTAGTGCTGTTTACCAATATACCTATTGTAGTTGAAAGGCTTAATTTAATGACTAGAAAAGGAAATTGTCGGGAGGGTAATCTGCTCTGTTTAAGTGTAAGTGTTTTCTAGGCATCTAAATTCCCTTGTTCCCATTTTTGGGGGATATTTAGTCAGGTCATTTTTTTTTTACAAGCCAATTCAAGTCTGTATCTAAGTATCCAGGGACACCGTCTGCTCTTTGTATCAAAAGACAGCTGTCTCGGTTTCTCATTTGCATCAAGAGGGAGGATCAAAACCCACACCCGCCCCCTAGTGAGTGAAAAAGAAACCAATTCCACGACACCCAGTGAAGAACTTGTGATGGGAACAGTTGCCCAGTGAAGTACTTGTGATGGAAGCAGTTGCCCAGTGAAGTACTTGTGATGGAAACAGTTGCCCAGTGAAGTACTTGTGATGGAAACAGTTGCCCAGTGAAGTACTTGTGATGGAAGCAGTTGCCCAGTGAAGTACTTGTGATGGAAGCAGTTGCCCAGTGAAGTACTTGTGATGGAAGCAGTTGCCCAGTGAAGTACTTGTGATGGAAGCAGTTGCCCAGTGAAGTTCTTGTGATGGAAGCAGTTGCCCAGTGAAGTACTTGTGATGGAAACAGTTGCCCAGTGAAGTACTTGTGATGGAAGCAGTTGCCCAGTGAAGTACTTGTGATGGAAGCAGTTAGTCATTTCTTTTTTTTTTTTAGCAGAGCCATATAAAGTCAATATTCTGATTCTCACCAAGCTGATAATTTCTTGGTTTTTTAAATTAAAGAATAAAAGCGGCAGTAGCTTTCAACAACAGCAAAAATACTGCAAAACCTACTGGTTACAGCTGGGATATAAACAATAACAGAATGAAAGTAGCAGCAGTTTTCAAAATCAACAACAAAAGTCTTGCCCAGTTTCAGGGTTGCAGCTGGGATATAAACAATAACAGAATGAAAGTAGCAGCAGTTTTCAAAATCAACAACAAAAGTCTTGCCCAGTTTCAGGGTTGCAGCTGGGATATAAACAATAGTATTAAACTAGCAGCAGCTTTAAACAACAACAACAGTCCTGCCAAACCTCAGGGTTATAGTTGGGATTCAAACAATGTGAGAATGTGAGAGTTAGTCACACAAAAAAGTGACCAAGATGTCAAAAAAATGGATCAAGATTATAGTTGAGATAGAAACAATAAAAGAATGTGAGAGTCACTCAACAAATGTGATCCACGTGGTTTCAAATAGCTGTCATAGCTGGGGGGAGAGGGGGGCGGTTAAGGATGAGCTCTCAACCGTCATCAAATGTATGTGCATTCATTACCCTTAACGGCAAAAGTCCATATCATCCATAGAAAGAAACATAGACAATGCTGCAGTTTTTGCTCATGATGTGCATTTAAGCTGTAATGTTGGTATTTTTCCACGGAAACCCTCTAAACAATAATATGGAAGGGAACTTTGAGATAAGAGAGAAATACGTGAGAATGTGAATACTGGTAGAAACACGAGATATACAAGCAGGGCTGAAACTAACACGTGCCACCCAGAACAAGGGTTATAAGGTTACATTAAGGTCTAATCAAGGAGTATGTGATTTGCAGCTAGTGCCTGCATTGAATGTCCAGTGCAGCGATGGCCTTCCTACTTAATACTTGATTCTTTCCAGTCTATCTGATTACCTTTGGCTTCAAACAGGTGAGTTTTGCTATTTGAACGAACTGGGAACAAACTTTTACCCTAAACTAATTACATTTTCTGTTCCTATGCGTTTCCTTGTATCTCCATATTTACAGATTTCACCCAAACACTTCCTATTTACACATTCGACACAACTGGTTTTTGAAGAATATACAGAAACATTGATTGATTTAATGGTTTTCTTTTTAATAACTACATTTAGCTATTTTGGCAACGATCGACGGGCCACTTGCTAGGCCTCGGCCGGCCAGATTTGGTCTACAGGCCGCTAGTTGAATAGCCCTGGTCTATTGCCTTTCTTGTACACACCCTGCCATTTTTGTAAAGGGAAATTAATGTGGGACAAGTCTGTCAAAATTCATAGGCCTGAAAGAGTTAAGGAAAGTTTTTAATAAGGTTTGGAAGGATGGGCTGTTAAAGAAATTTAGAAACTATAAAGTGAATTGAAGAATGTACAGTTGGATTAAAGCATACCTACATAGCAGAAAGTCAGTCATTTCAAACATTTAGAATCTGTTTTAAGTGACCAGAAATCATGTCTAGGATGGCCCAGACAACATCAGTCCTGACCAGACAACATCAGTCCTTGCCAGGCAACATCAGTCCTTGCCAGACAACATCAGTCCTTGCCAGGCAACATCAGTCCTGACCAGACAACATCAGTCCTTGCCAGACAACATCAGTCCTTGCCAGACAACATCAGTCCTTGCCAGACAACATCAGTCCTGACCAGACAACATCAGTCCTTGCCAGACAACATCAGTCCTGGCCAGACAACATCAGTCCTTGCCAGACAACATCAGTCCTTGCCAGACAACATCAGTCCTTGCCAGGCAACATCAGTCCTTGCCAGACAACATCAGTCCTTGCCAGACAACATCAGTCCTTGCCAGACAACATCAGTCCTTGCCAGACAACATCAGTCCTTGCCAGACAACATCAGTCCTGGCCAGACAACATTAGTCCTTGCCAGACAACATCAGTCCTTGTCAGACAACATCAGTCCTGGCCAGACAACATCAGTCCTTGCCAGACAACATCAGTCCTTGCCAGACAACATCAGTCCTTGCCAGACAACATCAGTCCTTGCCAGACAACATCAGTCCTTGCCAAGCAGCAAATATTGTGGAAATCTAAAAACATTTTAGCTATTAGTTTCTTTTACATGTGGCTGTGAGACGTGGACCTTAACAGCTGAACTCAAAAGGAAGATACAAATATTGGAAATGCAATGTTTCAGAAAAATTCCTGGCATACCTTACAGAGACCACATTATAAAAACGAAGAGGTTCACCATATAATTATACAGCACATAGGTAACTACAAACCTCTTTTAACAAGAGTGAATAGGTAAACAATCCAATGATATGGACATTTAATCAGATCTAACAGCCTCTCAAAAACAATACTGCAGGGCTCAGTAGAGGGAAAGAGGAGAAGAGGCAGACCAAGAAAGACCTGGTTACAGAAACTGACTGACTGGACAGGCCTCAGGCATGCAACCATGAAGTCCATCGCAACTGACCACCAAAGGTGGAGAGGGCTGATCAGATAGTCAACAGAAACTGGTGACCCAACGACATGCAGTGTTAAGGGATGATGATGATGATGGTCAATTAAGTAACCACATGTACACAATTTTTAAGATAGGTGTATCAGCCATGTGCACCTGTGGAAAGGTGCTCCACATAGCAAAATGTGTACTCCAGGACTGCACCGAATTTGAACCTTTGGCAAGAATGAACAATAAAGTGAAACATAAACTAAAAATGACAGTTAAAATTTATATGAGAGACAAAATTGATGAATCAGACAATTTACTTCAGGCAAATGAAAGAAGAAAAAGCAGAGGTGATCTAGGTTATAGTTGGGATACAAACAATGAGAGAATGAGAAAGTCAGTCAATAAGAGTGATCGAGGCTATAGTAGGGATACAACATTGAAAGAATGTGAGAGCCAGTCAACAACAGTGATCCAGGTTATAGATAGAACACAAATGAGACAATGTGAGAGTTAATCAACAAGAGTGATCAACATTGTAGTTGTGATGCAAACAATGAGACAATGTGAGTCAGTCAACAATAATGATCCAAGTTATAATAGGGATACAAGCAATGAATGAATAAATGAATAAACTATATTTTTTAAAGGGTCACACTCGTCTTATATTCAGCACTTCCAAACACCCATCTTTCACACAGCAGTTGTATTTTATCAACAAAGCATGTTATATTTGTATGATATGCATATTGTGAATACCTAGAAAAACCAACAAAAGCATGGGTGGTAAAATGCATGCACACACTAGCACACGAGCACACACACATGCGCCTACCCACTCATTTACTGACACATATATACACACCCACACTCATGCACACACACACACATTCCACAAACATACATACATACAAAAACCACACACAGGCACACCCACAGAAACACATGCAGACACACTCATACACAAAACAACAAACACATGTTCCCAGACACACACAAAGATACACACAGACATACAAAGAGATGTGCACACATGCCCACAGACACACACACATGCAGAAACACAAACTCACAGACATAGACAGATGCACTCACACATAGAGAATGTGAGAGTCACTCAACAAGAGTGATTGAGATTATAGTTGTGATGCAAACAATGATATAATGTGAGAGTCACTCAACAAAAGTGATTGAGATTGTAGTTGTGATGCAAACCATGATATAATGTGAGAGACACTCAACAAGAGTGATTGGGATTTTAGTTGTGATGCAAACCATGATATAATGTGAGAGTCACTTAACAAGAGTGATTGCGACTGTACTTGTGATGCAAAACAATGATATAATGTGAGAGTCAGTCAACAAGACTGATCCAGTTTATAGTTTGGGATACAAAAAATGGCAGCTGTGAGAGTCAGTCAACAAGAGTGATCCAGTTTATAGTTTTGGATACAAACAATGGCAGAATGTGAGAGTCAGTCAACAAGAGTGATCCAGTTTATAGTTTGGGATACAAACAATGGCAGAAAGTGAGAGTCAGTCAACAAGAGTGTATGATCAGGTTTCTACCTGAGTCAGTCCAGTATAAATTTCTGGCTATCCAGTCAACAGCCAAGCCATCAGTGGTGGTGAGTTCCTTGAGCACAATGTCTTCCATCCACTGACTACCATTTAGTGAGGCCCGTCTGAACATGGAGAAAATACAAGCACCATTATGCAGGGGTATTCTTCAATATAAATAAGGAATCATTGTAACCCCCGATGTAATGAGACCAGAGATATTAGCAAACATGTTAGGTTTTGTGACAGAAGCATTGCATAGCAAGCAAGAAATAAAGTCTTTAGTATTATGATGGTCAGTGCTGTAGTGTTCACAGCAGTGATTTACAATATTGTGATGTAAGGTTTTTGTAAGAGCTGTAATGTACAGTGGTGTCATGAGAGAGCTCTGATGTTCACACATGTTGAAGCTATGATAAGTGAGTCATGTGAGAGCTGTGATGTTAGATGGTGTCATGTGAGAGCTGTGATGTTAGATGGTGTCATGTGAGAGCTGTGATGTTAGATGGTGTCATGTGAGAGCTCAGATTTTAAATGGTGTCATGTGAGAGCTGTGCTGATAACTGGTGTCATGTGAGAGCTGTGATGTTAGATGGTGTCATGTGAGAGCTGTGATGTTAGATGGTGTCATGTGAGAGCTGTGATGTTAGATGGTGTCATGTGAGAGCTGTGATGTTAGATGTTGTCATGTGAGAGCTGTGATGTTAAATGGTGTCATGTGAGAGCTGTGATGTTAAATGGTGTCATGTGAGAGCTGTGATGTTAGTTGGGTTATCATCACTGCACTCTGGACGTGTCCATAGGTGCTCAGATCCTTCCCACATTGAAAATAAAGGTGACTCCACGTGCATGGATTCTGTAATGATTCAAGCAATTGACTTCACACCTAACCCGACCGTTGGCTTCTTTGACTGCTCTGCCCGCTGAGCGTGCTTTGAACGCCTATGCACTTCTTTGCTGGCGTATAACAAATCTGTCTGTGTAGATGAGTACATCTGCCTCGTCTGAACTTTCACTGATGACAGCATTGACCTCTGCATTGACAGCAATAGGATTCTGCTCCCTGCATCGCCTGTCGAGTGTGGCAATACATGGAAATGTACAAATAAACGCATGAGGCATGGATATTCACTCTGCACCAGGGGTGATGTCGGTTAGGCTGCATATTTGCTAGATAACATCTGCCCAGCCTAGCTATGATTTTCCCCTCTCTAGCCTGCCACCCTTCTCATGAAAACTGCTTGATGCAGTGGGTGTTTCTTATCAGCGTATATTTTAAGGTATGCCCGAGCCCTCCACATCCTGATCATTTGGTTCATTGTTGGAAAGTCAAGTAGATACCTCATTGCTACACAGGATGTGTCTCTTGTACATCCCAAAATAATGCGCATGGCTTCATTTTGCACCTTTTCTAGTCATTCATTCTGTGTAGCACTGACAGGGAAAATGGCTAGAGCACATTTAATGGGGAAAAGGACCAGCCCAAAGAACAGAAGTATTAGTAGTCTTTGCTCAATATTGGAAGCAGCCATAAACCTCATTGCAGAAATACCTTTGCATTCATTTATCACACGGTCAACATGTTCTTAGAAAGACGAGCTGCGATCAAACCTCACCCACAGATATGTCATCACGTTGGTTCTGATCAACACACCATCACCTATTTTCTGGTAAGTCTGTCATGACACTGTGATTGTTTAAAGAGAACCATCTCACTGATGCCTTTGAAGGATTGATATAGGCATTGGAACCATCACACCAGGTGGCAATCCAATCGAGTTCGGTGTGCTGGCAATCTCCTGTCTGTTGTGTCCTTGTTGATATATCAAAATTTCATCTGCAAATGACAAAGTCCTTCCTTTTCCATTCAACAGCTGCTCAGTGATCAACAGGTACACAGTGAACAAGACTGGTGACAGCAGTGATCCCTGCGACAAACCTAGACATATCGTTTGTGGTTCTGAGGACCAACTACCCCTTTCTCTGGAACAGGGCCGCAGCAATCCAGCAGATCAGAATAGGATTTACTTCAAGTTTAAGCAGTAAGTGCGTTAGATATTAATATTTAAATACTTAGTCACTCCCCTTCTACCTTGGGGTGTAGAGCTTTGACAGAGAGATCACCAGACTTCTGTCAGCAGTTTTTTCCTGGGTTGTTCAATTCCAGTCCTCTATCAGTTAGGGACTGTCAGATGTTGTCTTTCCAACGGACCCTGAAGGTTTGGTTCCCTGGTTCTTTGCCTCCCATGCCTGCCATTGTGGCCAATTTTCTCCCATTCTGCATACATGTCCAAACCATCATAACTGACTGATTCACTCATTTGTAAGGCCTGGGTATCAAAATCTTGACGTATTGTCACTTAGACCAGACTGCAGACTTTTGTCCCCTTTTGTCACTTAGACTACCTTTCTCAGATATCTCAATACTGAGGCCTGAAGGTGGCTTCTGTGAGCTGTTGTCATTGCCCATGATTCACACACGTAGGTCAGGACTATCATATAGGCAGGGCAATAAACAGCTATGCTATCAATGCCAAACGTGGACACTTACATCCTCCAATGAATGTAAAATTGTGATAACAGAGATCAAATGCCTTAGAAGAGCTGCGGGAGTTTCAAGGAAAGACAGAATACGAAATCATGAAATCAGACCAATGCTAGGAATAAAGCCAGTCTTACAGGTCATCAAAGAACAACAAATGAAGTGGTTTGGACACCCAGCAAGAATGCCCTGGTACTATTTGCCTTTGCGAACCACACTAAAACGTTACAATGGATATAAAGCGAGCGGAAGACCTCGGAAAAGATGGTGTGATGGCATTAATGGCATTAAGAACAGCCTTATAGAAATGAACATCAGTCTTAATAGTGCTCTTGACAGAGCTCATCAACGAACATTACATCCCCCCCCCCCTTCCCCCCGACACTTCGATGAGGTACAAGGTGGAAGAAAAGAAGAAGAAAAAGAAGAAGAAGAAACAGCTATTTTGTCCTATTGCTAATTTTGCTTTTGCTAAGAAACCATTGGTTCATGGCCTGGAAGAGTCTCCCAGAGTTTGCTTTTCGTGTAACCAGCTCAGTCTTAATGCCTCCGTTTCAGTTTACTACAACTCCAAGGTTTTTGAACTGGCTGACCTGCTCTGCTCCAATGCATACTGTCCCATCATGATCTGGTGTTTCTTCTCCTCTCTTGAGATCACCATGGTTTTAGTTTTAGAGATACTGATGGTCATCCCTCTCTTTTCAAGCTCTTTCTTCCAGACAAGTAAGTTGGACTGAAGGTGTGCCTCTGATGTAGCTATCAGGGCCACATCGTCTGCAAATGCCATCTTTGATATACAGATTGGTCTCATCTTCCAGTACCCTACAGAGTACTTCTTTGTCTTCTGCTTACGGGTCTTGATGACATCATCCATCATAAGAATGAAGAGGTAAGGTGAGAGAATATCACCTTGTCTAACACCGCTAGTGGTCTTAAATTCTTCTGACTTTTGGTCTGCTGTTCTGACATAATTTCTGCAGTTTTTGTAGAAACTCTGTACTGCACTGATCAGGGATGTTTTTCCCTGCCAAGCAGTCCCAGAGCTTGCTCCAGGGTACCTTGTAAAATGCTTTTTTTAGATTTAAAAAAAAACAGGCGCATCTGATTGTTATATTCAAGGGCTTTTTTTACTCATTTGTCTGAGTGTGAACATTAGTTATTCATATGGTACTTTATTGTAGGCATCTCATAAGTCTACCGCTGCCGCACATGTCTCTTCTTTGGTCTGAAATTTTTCATAAACATCGTAGGCAAAGACTGTGGCATTGCCTTGTACGATCATATATAAAGGCGGGCACATTGATTTCATGGCCTCTGTTGTTGTTGTTCTCCACCAAGACGACACAAGAAAAGTGACTGCTGTCATGGTAGCCAAGTGTGCTCCACCTGCATCTTGATGCAATGGTGGGAGATGCCAGGACCATGTCAATGGTGCCGTCAGAATCCCCTTGTCAGGTTGTCATTCTTGTAACCTTTCCATCATTCAAGCACATAAGATCGGCAGACACCAGGGCATCCTCCGCGACCTCTCCCTGTTTATTAGTGATTACACTGCCCTCTGATGTTGAAGTCCCCGCATTAAAGGACATACTTTTCCTCCATCTGGAGCAAACTCTGCCACTTCCGCACATCCAACTTTACGTTGCAGGCGTACACACTAACAATCACAAACTGGGCTGGGCTCAACATTCTAACTGCATATACCTGGAAGTCATCACCATTCCACTCAGACATATCCACCTCAGACACCGGTATGTTGTCACGAATAAGAATGACCTGTCCAAGGTGCTGGCTATTGTAGAAGCATGGAAGCCTGCAATTCTAAATATCTCGTTATAGAGGCGTGCTTCTTGTAGGACAAAGACATCACTGCTGTAGAGGAGTTTTCACAAATGGGTCAGCGCTAACTGAAAGAAGCACAGTCCAGTAGAGAATATGAACATACTTAAAGCTGAGTCAGACACATTTCAGTCGCTTCGTGCAGGCGCCAGCATACTTGTTGGCGTTTTCCTTGATCGTATTTAGGTTGTCTGGACTGGGTAAACTGTTGCTATCGGACGCCAAATCCATCCTGAGGGGAGTCTGAACTCACGTGCATATACTTAAATGCATGGTTCAGATCATCATCATCATCATGTGCCCTGCTAATTGTCGTAGGCGCTCATGCATCTCTACAGATCACGATCCCTGGTTGCCTGGAACAGCTCTCTTGATGATATCCCTCCATGCCATCGTCTCAGCCCATCCAGCATCATCTCTCTTAGTCTGTCTCTATCCCCTTTTTCCACGAATCTTTCCAGTTGTCACTAATTTCTCCAATGTCTCTCTTCTCATTACATTGTCAAAGAACAGTGTTTGCCTCTTTCTTATTGTTGAATATAGAGATCTACTTTCATTATTTTCTTTCAAACAATCGTTGTTAGTTACTTTGACCATCCAAGGTATTCATAACATCTCTGTTGCTTCCAAATTCTTCTTAATTTGTTCACTGACATTCTAAGATTCGCTGCCATACACCAGAACAGGTTCTATGTAAAATTTTGGCACCCTCTTTCTGACATTAAATGAGAGTAATTTAATGTCATGTGAGAGCTGTGATGCTCTGTCAAATGAGAACTGTGATATTAAACAATGTCATGTGAGAGCTGTGATGGTCAATCATGTGAGAACTGTGATGTTTACTGGTGGCATGTGAGAGCTGTGATGGTCAATCATGTGAGAACTGTGATGTTTACTGGTGGCATGTGAGAGCTGTGATGGTCAATCATGAGAGAACTGTGATGTTTACTGGTGGCATGTGAGAGCTGTGAAGGTCAATCATGTGAGAACTGTGATGTTTACTGGTGGCATGTGAGAGTAAAGTCAAAGAGTGTGCTTCAATCTACAAATCCAACATAAAGCAAAAACATGTCATCACTGAGCAAAAAAACATGGTTCATACAGGGAGATTAACACTGAATGAGAAACATAGTCTATACAATGCGATTAATACTGAATGAGGAATATAGTTCAAACAGGGAGATTAACACTGAATGAGAAAAATAGTTTATACAAGGAGATTAATACTGAATGAGAAAAATAGTTCAAACAGGGAGATTAATACTGAATGAGAAACATAGTTTATATAATGAGATTAATACTGAATGAGGAACATAGTTCAAACGGGGAGATTAACACTGAATGAGAAACATAGTTTATATAAGGAGATTAATACTGAATGAGGAACATAGTTCAAACAGGGAGATTAACACTGAATGAGAAACATAGTTTATATAAGGAGATTAATACCGAATGAGAAACACAGTTTATACAAGGAGATTAATACTGAATGAGAAACATAGTTCACAGAAGGAGATTAACACTGAATGAGGAACACAGTTTATACAAGGAGATTAAAACTGAATTAGAAACATAGTTTATATAAGAAGAATAAAACTGAATGAGGAACAAAGTTTATATAAGGAAATTAAAACTGAACAAGGAACATAGTTTTTACAAGAAGATCTACGTTGAATGAGGCTGTATGTTTAAAAAAAAAAGAACAGAGAGTAAAACAAATTACTGTATATGTGACATTCTGGCCAGAATTAAAAGATGAATGTGACGCTGATGATCCTAGATTTGACAGAGTGATATTACAGTCATTGCAGAAGAATAAATGGAAGAAAAATGCAGCAACTGATTTGGAGAAGTGTTTTTGAGATGTGACTGTGTATACCCAGTTGGAGAAGTGTTTTTTCGATGGCAGTGTGTGGACATACCTAGAGAAGTGTTTTGAAGATGTCAGTCAATATGGGCACATACCCAAAGAAGTGACTGCCAGAAATGAATGTTGTATACACACAGGCAGAAGTGACTGCCAGATGTGAATGTTGTGTACACATAGGGAGAAGTGACTGCCAGATGTGAATGCTGTGTGCATACCAGAAGACGTGAATGCCAGATGTGTACATTGTGTACACACAGGGAGAAGTGACTGCCAAATGTGAATGTTGTGCACATACCTGAAAAAGTGACTGCAAGATGTGAATGTTGTGTACACAAAGGGAGAAGTGACTGCCAGATGAGAATGTTGTGTACACACAAGAAGAAGTGACTGCCAGATGTAAATGTGCACATACCTGAAGAGGTGACTGCCAGATGTAAATGTTGTGTACATACCTGAAAAAAGTGACTGCCAGATGTAAATGTTGTGTACATACCTGAAAAAAGTGACTGCCAGATGTGAATGTTGTGTACATACCTGAAAAAAGTGACTGCCAGATGTGAATGTTGTGTGCATACCTGAAGAAGTGAATGCCAGATGTGAATGTTGTGTATTTACCTGAAGAAGTGACTGCCAGATGTGAATGTTGTGTACATACCTGAAAAAAGTGACTGCCAGATGTAAATGTTGTGTACATACCTGAAAAAAGTGACTGCCAGATGTGAATGTTGTGCACATACCTGAAGAAGTGACTGCCAGATGTAAATGTTGTGTACATACCTGAAGAAGTGACTGCCAGATGTAAGTGGTGTGTACACACAGGGAGAAGTGAATGCCAGATGTGAATGTTGTGTATTTACCTGAAGAAGTGACTGCCAGATGTAAGTGTGCACATACCTGAAGAAGTGACTGCCAGATGTAAATGTGCACATACCTGAAGAAGTGACTGCCAGATGTAAATGTGCACATACCTGAAAAAAGTGACTGCCAGATGTAAATGTTGTGTACATACCTGAAGAAGTGACTGCCAGATGTAAATATTGTGTACATACCTGAAAAAAGTGACTGCCAGATGTGAATGTTGTGTGCATACCTGAAGAAGTGAATGCCAGATGTGAATGTTGTGTATTTACCTGAAGAAGTGACTGCCAGATGTGAATGTTGTGTACACACAGGGTGAAGTGACTGTCAGATGTGAAAGTTGTGTACATACCTGAAGAAGTGACTGCCAGATGTGAATGTTGTGTACACACAGGGAGAAGTTACTGCCAGATGTGAATGTTGTGTACACATCTATAGAAGTGTCTGCTAGGTGTGCATGTAGTGTACGCATCTGGAGAAGTGTCTGCTAGGTGTGCATGTTGTGTACACATCTGGAGAAGTGTCTGCTAGGTGTGCATGTTGTGTACACATCTAGAGAAGTGTCTGCTAGGTATACATGTTGTGTACACATCTAGAGAAGTGTCTGCTAGGTATGCATGTTGTGTACACATCTGAAGAAGTGTCTGCTAGGTATGCATGTTGTGTACACATCTAGAGAAGTTTCTGCTAGGTGTGCATGTTGTGTACACATCTGAAGAAGTGTCTGCTAGGTGTGCATGTTGTGTACACATCTAGAGAAGTGTCTGCTAGGTATGCATGTTGTGTACACATCTAGAGAAGTGTCTGCTAGGTATGCATGTTGTGTACACATCTGAAGAAGTGTCTGCTAGGTATGCATGTTGTGTACACATCTAGAGAAGTGTCTGCTAGGTGTGCATATTGTGTACACATCTGAAGAAGTGTCTGCTAGGTGTGCATGTTGTGTACACATCTGAAGAAGTGTCTGCTAGGTATGCATGTTGTGTACACATCTAGAGAAGTGTCTGCTAGGTATGCATGTTGTGTACACATCTAGAGAAGTGTCTGCTAGGTATGCATGTTGTGTACACATCTGAAGAAGTGTCTGCTAGGTATGCATGTTGTGTACACATCTAGAGAAGTTTCTGCTAGGTGTGCATGTTGTGTACACATGTGAAGAAGTGTCTGCTAGGTGTGCATGTTGTGTACACATCTAGAGAAGTGTCTGCTAGGTATGCATGTTGTGTACACATCTAGAGAAGTGTCTGCTAGGTATGCATGTTGTGTACACATCTGAAGAAGTGTCTGCTAGGTACGCATGTTGTGTACACATCTAGAGAAGTGTCTGCTAGGTGTGCATGTTGTGTACACATCTGAAGAAGTGTCTGCTAGGTGTGCATGTTGTGTACACATCTGAAGAAGTGTCTGCTAGGTATGCATGTTGTGTACACATCTAGAGAAGTGTCTGCTAGGTATGCATGTTGTGTACACATCTGGAGAAGTGTCTGCTAGGTGTGCATGTTGTGTACACATCTGGAGAAGTGTCTGCTAGGTATGCATGTTGTGTACACATCTGAAGAAGTGTCTGCTAGGTATGCATGTTGTGTACACATCTAGAGAAGTTTCTGCTAGGTGTGCATGTTGTGTACACATCTGAAGAAGTGTCTGCTAGGTGTGCATGTTGTGTACACATCTAGAGAAGTGTCTGCTAGGTATGCATGTTGTGTACACATCTAGAGAAGTGTCTGCTAGGTATGCATGTTGTGTACACATCTGAAGAAGTGTCTGCTAGGTATGCATGTTGTGTACACATCTAGAGAAGTGTCTGCTAGGTGTGCATGTTGTGTACACATCTGAAGAAGTGTCTGCTAGGTGTGCATGTTGTGTACACATCTGAAGAAGTGTCTGCTAGGTATGCATGTTGTGTACACATCTAGAGAAGTGTCTGCTAGGTATGCATGTTGTGTACACATCTAGAGAAGTGTCTGCTAGGTATGCATGTTGTGTACACATCTGAAGAAGTGTCTGCTAGGTATGCATGTTGTGTACACATCTAGAGAAGTTTCTGCTAGGTGTGCATGTTGTGTACACATGTGAAGAAGTGTCTGCTAGGTGTGCATGTTGTGTACACATCTAGAGAAGTGTCTGCTAGGTATGCATGTTGTGTACACATCTAGAGAAGTGTCTGCTAGGTATGCATGTTGTGTACACATCTGAAGAAGTGTCTGCTAGGTACGCATGTTGTGTACACATCTAGAGAAGTGTCTGCTAGGTGTGCATGTTGTGTACACATCTGAAGAAGTGTCTGCTAGGTGTGCATGTTGTGTACACATCTGAAGAAGTGTCTGCTAGGTATGCATGTTGTGTACACATCTAGAGAAGTGTCTGCTAGGTATGCATGTTATGTACACATCTGGAGAAGTGTCTGCTAGGTGTGCATGTTGTGTACACATCTGGAGAAGTGTCTGCTAGGTATGCATGTTATGTACACATCTGGAGAAGTGTCTGCTAGGTATGCATGTTGTGTACACATCTAGAGAAGTGTCTGCTAGGTGTGCATGTTGTGTACACATCTGGAGAAGTGTCTGCTAGGTATGCATGTTATGTACACATCTGGAGAAGTGTCTGCTAGGTGTGCATGTTGTGTACACATCTGGAGAAGTGTCTGCTAGGTATGCATGTTATGTACACATCTGGAGAAGTGTCTGCTAGGTGTGCATGTTGTGTACACATCTAGAGAAGTGTCTGCTAGGTGTGCATGTTGTGTACACATCTGGAGAAGTGTCTGCTAGGTATGCATGTTATGTACACATCTGGAGAAGTGTCTGCTAGGTGTGCATGTTGTGTACACATCTGGAGAAGTGTCTGCTAGGTATGCATGTTGTGTACAGACCTGATAACATCCAGGAAGACATCGGTGTAGTAGACGACACTGTCCTGGTAGTCCACATCCAGGGCAATTACATTGTGCAGGTCAGACAAGGGCAGGTAGACATCTGTGTAATCAGGTGTGTCCAAGGAGATACGTCGAATACTTCCACGTGCAGCAAACAGCAAATATTTACTCGGAGCTGGTTGATATCCATGCAAGATTGTTGCAAACACAATTGAAAATAGTTTAGTTTTGCATGCCACATTAAAATCAATATATTTTAAACAAAATCTACTAAAAAGGAAATTTAATAATCTCTACACAAAATACTACCAAATTTACTGAGATGGATTGAGCCTTTCAATTTTTTTAACACTCACTGAACAGGCATTTGTTAAAACTAGCAGAAAGAGTGGCAATTAGAATGAGCGATCCTGTTATGTCAAAGAATGGCAATTAGAATGAGCAATCCTGTTATGTCAAAGAGTGGCAATTAGAATGAGCAATCCAGTTATGTCAAAGAGTGGCAATTGAGATGAGCAATTCTGTTATTTCAAAGAGTGGCAATTAGAATGAGCAATCCTGTTGTGTCAAAGAGTGGCAATTAGGATGAGTAATCCTGTTATGTCAAAGAGTGGCAATTAGAATGAGCTATTATGTTATGCCAAAGAGTGGCAATTAAAATTTAGCATGGAGGATTCCAAAAACTACTATTAACCCTTTTACCGCTATGTGCTATGGACGAGATAACTTGTCTGCCCGGCAGACTGTTAAACATGAGATAACTTGTCTGCCCGGCAGACTGCTAAACACGAGATAACTTGTCTGCCCGGCAGACTGCTAAAGACGAGATAACTTGTCTGCCCGGCAGACTGCTAAACACGAGATAACTTGTCTGCCCGGCAGACTGCTAAAGACGAGATAACTTGTCTGCCCCGCAGACTGTTAAACACAAGATAACTTGTCTGCCCGGCAGACTACTAAAGACGAGATAACTTGTCTGCCCGGCAGACTGTTAAACACGAGATAACTTGTCTGCCCGGCAGACTGTTAAACACGAGATAACTTGTCTGCCCGGCAGACTGCTAAAGACGAGATAACTTGTCTGCCCGGCAGACTGCTAAAGACGAGATAACTTGTCTGCCCGGCAGACTGCTAAAGACGAGATAACTTGTCTGCCCGGCAGACTGTTAAACACGAGATAACTCGGCTTCCATTTTCTGTGCCCTCACTGCTAAGGACGAGATAGCTCGTCTTCGACTTTATTTTACAGATTGCTTTGAACAGTAATTCTTGGGGGTGAAATAGCAATACACATTACCTTAATCTGATCAAACTGACCCGTTTACATACAATTAAAACCCTTATCATGTGTGTTTAGGCATATTTAGATGCATTTCACGTTATCCTGTTGCTTTGTTACCATAGAAGCATTGTCGGTGAACAGTAATTTTTTTGCCCTGAAATATATTTCTGGTTTTTGCGTTAGTCTACATTTTTTTAAAATACAAAATAACAAGAACATTAGTTAATTAAAGAAGAATTAATGGAGTTTCTTTCAAGGAGTAATAGTAAGGATCACTTTGAAACGTGTGAGTTATATGAGCTGGGTTATCTTCACGGCACACCAGCGGACACGTGTACTTCTGGCCGTGAGCAAGACTGACCAGTGACCATATGACCTAGCTATCTACATCGATTGGATTTGAAATGGATCCCAAATAATCAAAATAAAGATATGGTCACGTACTGACATGATGATTAATATTAATGTTAATAATATACTATACAACTAACATAAATGTGTTTGTCTATTAAAGTTTACAACACTAGTCTTTTCTCAGTTCATAGATTTATGTGAATTTCTAGTGTAGTTGGTATCAACTCTGCCTTACAATCGAAAGATCCAGCGTTCAACCCCTACATGCCTTTTTATTTTTTATTGTTTTTAAATTTTAAATGTAAATTTTAAATTTAAGCTTTTAGCATTTTCAGCAACAGATCACCGAAGTAATAATTAATAAAACATCCTGTCACGTGCGTTCAGGTGGATTTAGATGCTTTACACGTTATCCTGTTCCTTTGTGAAGCATGGTTGGTGTACTGTGCATTTGTTATTTCCTTCCTACAAAATGGCAGAGAAAAAGTGTAGGAGGACTAAAAAGTGAAGATCTACCACTTTGTTTAGTACAAAGGCATTTCCCTTCATGAATAGAGTCCGTAACATCACAGAAAAAATTTCCAACAAGAAAGTGTGTGGTATGTGCAAAAATCAAAAAACAATGGGAAACCAGATACATGTGCAAAGATTGTGATTTGGCATTGTGTGTCGCACCTTGTTTTGAAATATTTCACACAGATATTATTATTAATAATAATAAAAACCATGTATTTGCTTACTAAAGTGTTTTGTGTTTGCTTTGTAAGTTTGTAGTGTTTTCTTTTTGTTAATGAGTTTTCATGGCGTAGAAATAGCGCGCCTGACTTGTCAGCGCAAAGTTCAACCACACGCCTTCAGAGAGTTTTTTATTTTAGGTGTATAATTTTTACCCCGCGCCGCAAGTGCGTCATCTGCTTTTGAAGGGAAAAACAGTATTCAGCACAGGGGGAAAGATTAGCTCTCGCCTGGCTCAGCACAGTGGTTACGTTGGCTGGCGAAGGGCGTAGCAGCGAAAGGGTTAAAAATATACTGCACAAACATGTAAGGCTTTGCTGATGATAATGATGCAACTTTGTTACAAAGCGTTTGCACTGTTAATAAAACCCTTTTTGTTAAAAAGAAAACAAGTATTTTCATACAATAAATTCCTGTTACTGTTTTCATAATCCAGTCTATAGCCAGTAAAAATAAGAGAGGCCATAAAAGACATCCCTGTCGCACACCTGTTTTTATTTCAAATGTATCTGTTAGATTTCCCTCATGAAGAACTCGACATTTCATGTCTTTATATGTTGCCTTTACTAAGTTGATAATTTTCTGTGGGATTCCATAGTGTCCCATCAATTTCCAGAGAGATTCCCTATCAATGCTGTCAAATGCTTTTTCGTAGTCTATACATCCAATGTAAAGTGGTGAGTTCAGTTCAATGCTTTGCTCTATTATAATACGTAATGTGGCTATCTGGTCAGTACAGTATCTGTTTGACCGAAAACCTGCCTGTTCATCTTTTAGCTTTTTATCAATAGCATCTTTTAATCTCTCCAAAATAATTGTACTTAATATTTTTTCAGAAACTGACAGCAACATAATTCCTCTATATTTTTCACATTCCCGTAGATCACCTTTTTTGGGCAGTTTCACAAGATATCCTTCTCTCCAGTCTGCTGGTATTTCTGCGGTCTTCCAGACTTTACTATATAATCTGTGTAGCAATTCTGTTGATGTTTTTATGTTGGCCCTAATGGCTTCAGCTGGGATACCATCTGGGCCTGCCGCCTTTCCTTCCTTGAGAAAATTGATAGCTTTTCTAATTTCCTCTTTAGATGGTATGTCACAGTTGATATCCAGTTGCCCGCCTTGCTTATGACAGGAACTTGCATCTCCCCACAACGCTTAGCGGCATACGTGGAAGGAAAAAGTAAAAGTAAGTAAGTAAGATATCCAGTTCCATTTCTAAAGGCTGGATATATGGGGGAACCTTTGGATCTGGTCTATTTAAAAGCATTTCAAAATATTCAACCCATCTGTTCATTTGATCTTTAGTGTTAGTAAGCACCTTTCGTTGACTATTTTTGATTTATCCAGCTGACTGACTATATTTACCTACTAATTTTCTTGTGTTACTGTAAAGTTCTCTGAGGTTTCCTTTTGCTGCTGCTGTCTCTGCTTCTTGTGCTAGATCATTTAGATATTTCACTTTATCTGCCCTTATACGCCTCCTAGCTTCCTTATTGGCTTCTGTGTATTTCTCCTGAGCTGTAGCTTTAGCAGCTCTAGTTTTGCAATTGTTTAAGTCTGCCTTTTTACTTTTCCTTTCTGCAATCAATTTAATGGTTTCTGGTATTATCCATGCTTTATGTTTCCGTTATTTCTTGCCAAGAACTTCTACACAAGATTTATTCCAATTCCTTTGATCTGATCCCAGCAGACTTCTGTGCTGACATCTTCAGCTAACTGCTGCAACACCTGGTACTTATTGGAGACTGTAACTGAAAACTGTTCCTTAACTTCTTTACCCCTGACATAACCTACATTATATTTGTTTCTATGATTATAAGATGTTATAAAACTTTTAAGTTTCATCTTGATTTTTTATAATGTACTAGGGTCGTCATTATAAAAAGAATTAAATAATGTAGTCAAATGAAGCTGTGTAAACCACCTGCAAATAAACATTAATAAAACAAAGTCTTTGCTAATAACAACTAGACAAAAACTCTATAGTTTAAACTCCCAGAGAGCACTTGAACTCTAAATTGGAAAGTATCAAGAGGAAAGTGTAACTGAGCACAAAGCACTGAGAGAAAAGGCAAGACAGACATATAACCAGATTACAACTGGTGCCATTAGTACTGGAATTCTGTGCTAGCTGCTGAAGATGAGGATGCAGCGTGAATGGGAATGCCCCGAGTGCTGTGATTCCAATTCTTGACTCAACTGTATTAGGCTGCACGATAACACAATCAGTCTATATACACATGCATTATTTGGCACGATAACACAATCAAACTTAAAATGTAAACTAGACTTTGTCGTTTAACAGATTAAATGGATAACCAGAAACATGCACAATGACAACTGCTGCAGCAACTTACCATGATGGCATGTTTTCCCATCTTCTTTCAACAAGATGCCAGTAGGACAAGCACAAGAGGTCCCCCGAGGATTGGGCAAACACAGGTGGCTGCAACCCCCATTGTTTTTACCACAGCGATTCACATGGATTTCTAGTGAGTGAGAGTACAACAATGTTTCAGACACCTAGCTGCAAGACTTCCATATAAATTAAATACTGGACCAGACAGATTAAGTTCCATAAGAATATTGTTCAGTGACGCGAGACGCTACTTCAACTAGACAAGATATCTTGACTGACATGCCACAACTTTTTTACCCTTCTGCAATTTCGGTAACGTCGCTGTAAAAACCTGGCCACCAACAGAATCCAGTTGGTAGACGGATCTGTCGATTACTGACATCCGGTTGCTAGCAGTGGTGAGAGTGCAGTTTTGAAAAAGAGTTTTATCAAATATAACGCTATCAAACTGTAACAGTCATCAGTCTGTTTCATACAACACTACTGAACAGTAACAATTATCAAACTATCACAAATGTTTGTAACAACCAATAAGTCTACTAACCAACTCCATCAATCTGTACAGCATGAATGTCCATGATGCCTGGCAGGTTGTCACGTATATGAATCACATCAGACACCAAGTTCTTGTTGGCTCCATGGATTGAACTGCCTTGCCAATCGGTCCAGTAGATAAAATTGCCAGCAACAGTCAAGCCATAGGGGTGTTGAACTTTGGTCACCAACTTTCTGCGAGCATGTCCTGACAGGTCTGAGCACTCTATTAACTAGCAAATGAAGCAGACAAGAAATAAACATAAACAATAACCAGACTCATTACCTGTAGGAATGTGACAGACAACTAGCAGGCAAAGATTCACAACCATATCAACTCACAATGATACACAAATACTGACATAAGGAAATGATAAACATCTACTGACATAAGGCAAAGATACAGTTACTGACATGAAGAAATGATACACAACCACAGACAATGATACACAACTACAGACAAGAGAAAATGATTCACAACTACAGACAAGAGAAAATGATTCACAACTACAGACAATAGACAATGATACACAACTACAGACAAGAGAAAATGATTCACAACTACAGACAGGAAGACAGTGACACAAAACTACGGAGACATTAATACAAAACTCTACAGACATGAGACAATGGTAAATATTAAATACGCTTTTTAAGTTAAGTCCCGGTATAAAATAAAAAAAATCATATATGAAAATGATTTATTGCAGCCAAACGTGAACCACACATTTTTATTATTTCTCAACATAGTCACCACTGACTTAAACACATTTTTGGTATCCTGACACAAGGTTCTTAATTCCAAAGTCCTAAAAGTCTGATGCCAGTGTCTTCAACCATTCATTACCACCTGTCTGCAGTTCATCAGCAGTTTCAAACTGCTGGGATACTAGCCACTTCTTGAGGTGCATAAAAAGGTGGTAATCACTTGGCGCCAGTCGGAGCTGAAGGGCAGGTGGTCTACAATTTTCTAGTGACATTTTTGCAACAATTGAATAGTTCCATCTGTGACGTAAGGTCGAGCATTACCGCGCAAAAGTACAATTCCAGAGTATAGCAACCCACGTCTTTTGTTTTGGATAGCACGTAATGTTTTTTAAAACTAAGGTTTCTTGTCATAATATTGTATATCAGTGAATGTGAAACTTCAGAAAATCCGACAGGCAACACAGAAACTGTTGAAATTATGATATTCCTGAATTTGTTGGTTCAGTTCTTCGACCACACTCATGTGTCATATAAGTACTGACATGAGACAACTATTGACATGAGATACAATTACTGACATGAGACACAACTACTGACATGAGATACAACTACTGATATGAGACACAACTACTGACATGAGACACAACTATTGATATGAGATACAACTACTGACATGAGATACAACTACTGACATGAGATAAAATTACTGACATGAGACACAACTACTGACATGAGACACAACTACTGACATGAGACACAACTACTGACATGAGACACAACTACTGACATGAGACACAGCTACTGACATGAGACACAACTACTGACATGAGACACAACTACTGACATGAGACACAACTACTGACATGAGATACAACTACTGACATGAGACACAACTACTGACATGAGATACAACTACTGACATGAGATACAATTACTGACATGAGATACAACTACTGACATGAGATACAACTACTGACATGAGACACAACTACTGACATGAGATACAACTACTGACATGAGACACAACTACTGACATGAGATACAACTACTGACATGAGACACAACTACTGACATGAGATACAACCACTGACATGAGATACAATTACTGACATGAGATACAACTACTGACATGAGATACAACTACTGACATGAGATACAACTACTGACATGAGATACAACTACTGACATGAGATACAACTACTGACATGAGATACAACTACTGACATGAGATACAACTATTGATATGAGATACAACTACTGACATGAGATACAACTACTGACATGAGATAAAATTACTGACATGAGATACAACTACTGACATGAGACACAACTACTGACATAAGACACAACTACTGACATGGGACACAACTACTGACATGAGACACAACTACTGACATGGGACACAACTACTGATACTGATATGAGACACAGCTGCCGACATGAGACACAACTACTGACATGAGACACAACTACTGACATGAGATACAACTACTGACATGAGATACAACTACTGACATGAGACACAACTACTGACATGAGACACAACTACTGACATGAGACACAACTACTGACATGAGATACAACTACTGACATGAGATACAACTACTGACATGAGACACAACTACTGACATGAGACACAACTACTGACATGGGACACAACTACTGATACTGATACGAGACACAGCTGCCGACATGAGATACAACTACTGACATGAGACACAACTACTGACATGAGATACAACTACTGACATGTGCACTTAAGAATATGGCTGCAATTGACATAGAGCAGAGAATGCTTTTCACACTATATCAGCACCTGATCCTGTCAGTGGTTGATTATGGCCTGGGACTGCTTACCTTCTCAAAAAGTGTTAGGAAATGAACAGGCGGACAGACTGACTGGCTCTGCACAATTTGATGGAATACTGATACATTATTAGGCAGACGTGGTTAGTGCCTTGTGGAAGAGCGTGTAAAGTTCGGAGGAGCAGATGGAACACCACAGTCTGGTGAGATTGATGCAGGGGGGGAGTGATGAGAGGTTCTGGCAGATGCTCGAGGCTCAGAGGAAAGGCAAGACGGGCGTTTAATCAGAATGCTACTGGCACCATTAGTATTGGAACTCTTCGCTGACTGCTAAAGATAGGGACAGAGCGCTTATGGGAATGCCCCAAGTGCTGTAATGTTGGTTCTTTAATCAAATCTAATCAAATCAGTGACATCAGACTCAACTAGAGATATGAGACACAACCCTTGAAATTATACTCAGCTGTGTGTGTTGTCCATCAAGATGATGATGATCATTCTTTTTCATCAAGTATGAGATGACTGATGAGACCGATGGGCACCCAAAAAGTTTTTGGACAGTGAGGACAGGGAATGAGTGTTGTGCCAGGGAGGGGATCTCCTGCAGTCGCCTTTCTGTCCACCTTTTTCTTGATCAGTCTTGCTGTTCTGTTTGCTTCACATGTAGCCGTGCCCTTGTGTAGCGTTTGCACGCCATGCATTTCGGTCTTGAGATTTGGATCGTTTGCCAGTGTCCAAGTTTTCTCGTGTGTTGTCAGTCAGTGAATGGAAGCGTGCGATGACTAGAGCCAGAAGAAGACACTAGAAAGTCATTACACCTCCCAATTGGTGTCTGCGCAACTCTTCCTCACTTTAATCCAAGTCACCGCGTAAGTCACTCTTTCATCCTACTCATCAACTAGTGACATGAGACAACAACCCTTGACATCATACTTAACTAGTGACATGAGACAACAACCCTTGACATCATACTTAACTAGTGACATGAGACAACAACCCTTGACATCATACTTAACTAGTGACATGAGACAACAACCCTTGACATCATACTTAACTAGTGACATGAGACAACAACCCTTGACATCATACTTAACTAGTGACATGGGACAACAACTACTGACATGATACACAGCAACTGACATGAAAACATACACTGCTGCTGAAAAGGAGACATGACACAAATCTTACCTCAGTACGAGCATCTGCCCAAATGATTCTGTTGGTTGGCCTATCAATCGTCAGGCCATTAGGCCACACTATAGCATCTGAGATAATAACTTTTCTGTTCTTGCCATCCATATCTGCCCTTTCTATGCGAGCATTATCTCCCCAGTCAGTCCAAAACATGTAGCTAACAAAAAAAAGGGGGGGAAAAAGACATGATGTTAGAATAAAAAACTCAACAATGCAGATGAAACAATAGAAAAAAAAACCCCAAAAAATGTAGTTGAATACTCCAGTCAAATCAGTTGACAACAGTCATCCATACTTTAATCATATCAGCTTGACAACAGTCATCCATACTTTAATCATATCAGCTTGACAACAGTCATCCATACTTCAATCATATCGGCTTAACAATATTCATACAACCTTCCATCACATCAACTTGACATCAGTCATCCACACTTCAGTCACATCAGCTTGACAACAATCATCCCTATTTCAGTCATATCAGCTTGACAACAGTCATCCATACTTTAATCAAATCAGCTTGACAACAGTCATCCATACTTCAATCATATCAGCTTGACAACAGTCATTCACACTTCAGTCACATCAGCTTGACAACAGTCATCCATACTTCGGTCACATCAGCTTGACAACAGTCATCCATACTTTAATTAAATCAGCTTGACAACAGTCATCCATACTTCAATCATATCAGCTTGACAACAGTCATCCATACTTTAATCAAATCAGCTTTACAACAGTCATCCACACTTCAATCATATAGGCTTAACAACAGTCATACAGACTTCAGCCACATCAGCTTGACAACAGACATCCACACTTCAGTCACATCAGCTTGACAACAGTCATCCACACTTCAGCCACATGTGGAAAAGCTCAGCAAGCAAAAATGGGACACGACCATGTTTGCTTACCCCTTGTCGTAATGTAAGGCAATTGCTCTAGGCTTGTCCAGGTCTTGGTAGATCAGAACAGTTCGAATGCTCCCATCTAGAGTGGCAACCTGTGTCATGAGCAGATAGTAAGAACATTGGTCTATTTCAATCTTCAAACATTATATAGGAAGTGGGTAACACCATCTATATCTGGTTAACACTTGTATAATACCGCACTCAGTCAACACTTCTATAATATAGCATCTAGTCAACACTTGTATAAACTGCAAACAGTCAACACTTTTATAATTTAGCAGACAGTGAAAACTTGTATAATAAAGCATCTAGTCATGGTAATAATTATGTAGCCACTGATCATGTAATGGTCTTTGGTTTCAGCAGTGGTAGTAGGCAGTCATTTAGCTACTCCTCTTTGATATGACACCTTGGATGCTGTTGGTAAACTCTCCTGCCAAGTCTGTCATGTCATCCTCCTGCAGCATATCAGCAAATTCGATGCTATCACAGCCTAGGACAGTAGTAGATGATTTCTCAACCCTTTGAGTCCCAAGGAACACATCATGCGCTAACTGGTTACAACCCAGTGACCCAATCGGCGTGTGACGAGTAAAGGTTTTTAATTTACTACTGACCAGTAATAAAACGCAGACCCCCCTTATTTCAACTTCCTTTCCAGTTCTCTTTGTGTGTCAGGCACAGTGACGACTTATTTGGAAACATGGTGGTAAAAGCCAAACATCTAGTATATCAGCGAGGTTTACTGAGTTATTAAGTGTTTGTTTGAGAACAATATGGCAACTGAGCAGTATTCTGCATGCATGATTTATGGCTGTAGAAGCCTCAAATGTAAACAAGGCATGTGTTTATAAGATTTATCCAAAGTTAGATAAATAACGTGAAGCAGACTTGTTTCAGTCATTTATAGAGTCAAACTATGATGAGGGACAGCTCTAATGTGTACACATGTGAAGCGTACAACGATAGCAAAGTCAGCTGGCACAAATAGAATAACTATTAGAGAAAAGGCAATTTTCTGAATTGTCAGTTAGTTTTAGTGCTTTTCCCCAGATTATTTAGGAACATACCTACACAATTACAGTATTATTTAAACTTTGTTTTGTGTGAAGATATTAACTGTTTTGTGTGAAGATACTAACTGTTTTGTGTGAAGATACTAACTGTTTTGTGTGAAGATACTAACTGTTTTGTGTGAAGATACTAACTGTTTTGTGTGAAGATACTAACTGTTTTGTGTGAAATTACTGTTTTGTGTGAAGATACTTTTTGTGTGAAGATACTAACTGTTTTAGGACAAAGTTAGTTCTCTTTAACAAATAATGGTGCTCTGTTATGATGCTTCACAAGATTCTTTGGAACAAGATCTAATGTACAGATTAAGTTTATATTTTAGTTATATAATACTAAGTTCCTGTTCATTTGTGATTCATTTTGGATATATTTTAATGTTTTCCTCGAGCACTAAGGTGGTAAGTGGAAAAATTATTATATAATTTTACTAATTTCTTTAAACATTCTTTGTTTATTTACTAATATAACTACAACCACAAAAATGTGTTGTAGCAGCATTATATTATTACTCTCCAACAATCCCTAATCACTTTGATGTATAAGATGTGTATGTTACACAGCAGCTGAATTAATATAGTGTGTTTTAATGTGTTACCCTAGTGAAATTAATACAATGCACTACCCTTGGGCTTTGATGCTAAACCCCATGGTACTCAAAGAGTTAAGTGTTACCTGTATAGTCTTAGTCGTAATAATGAAATCGTCATTAAACTCTGCCATTTCATTCTACTTTGAGATCCTAACCCTTACCTGCAGTCTGGATACATGAAATACATAAAATTATACAGTCCTAGATACATGACAGACAATGTTATAGTGCTGCAATCCTGGACACATGAAACATAGACACTGATACAGTGCTCTATTAGTGGTGCAGTGGATATATGAAAAATGTTAGATGGTCGATGTCAGAGGCTAGTGTGGGTATGGGACAGCCAGTATGATAGTAGTGAATGTTTCATGTCTGCATTTACATGACTGAAGCATGACCATAGTCCACTGAGACAAACTGACCACGGTAAGAAGTTGTGTCTTACTAAGTGGCTCACTTGCGACCGATAGATTGTAGTGTTATGTTTGGCCCATAGTGACCAATAGTCTGTGTTACAATGTTTTTCATTAGACGGTACCTGTACTTCTGTGTTATACTGCGCTCAACAGATATAGCTTTTCTGTGTAGCTTGTTATGTGGGTAGCTGTAGAGGTATTACTGTCAGTCTGGTAGCTAAGATTGGTTTGTACTGGTTGTTGTGATTTGATCTGCCCTCACTCACTTTGCCCAGCACTCTGCAGATGCTCAAAAATCAAGGCATGGAGTTCAGTTGCAGAGAAAAGAGCTGTACAGAAGCAGCATGGGTTTGGACCCCGGTACTTTTCATGGTAGGAGTGAGAGGTGATTTGTAAAGCCCTCACGGCCTTTGTTTGGATAGGGGTGACCATGACTTTTGGGCAAACTGCCACTCCTTATATTATTCTGCACATTAAAGACTGGTGTGTGCTCTGTAGATGTTTGGGTTTAGTGCTGTGTAGGGTAAATTTATCTCTCACAGGCCTAAAACACGAGCCATATGCGGCAGATTTAAGGTTTCTAGCAGTCCACCAATGAGGAGCACAGGAAAAGGCCCAGCGCATCCTACCAAGCGCCCAGGGCTTATGATTTGCTCCAGTCACATACAAGAGCTCCCTCAGATGACAAAAACAACTATTAGGTTACTACAGGAGAGTAAGGAGAGGCCAGCAGAAAAAAGAGCACCAATATAAGCTACAGCACACACGTAACCCATTACCATGTCCTTAAGTAACCACCAACATCATCTACGATTACTGTAACATCACACACCACGCCAAGTATGATCTTGAAATGCGATCAGCCTCTTCATTATGGACAAACACAATGACGAGGATAAGTGGTGATCGATGGCTCACTGTCAAGTCTCCTACTGCCTTCCACAAACTGACATCGACAGTCCCTTTTGACATGGACAAAACAAACACTCCAGCGAACTATGTTCCAGGTGCCTGCTAAGGGCAACTCACATCAGACAATAATACACCTATTTTATGTGCAGTGACAACCCCCTGGCAGTTCACCCCCTAAAGGGCCCTGCTACCCTTAGGACTCAAGATAGATGCACCGTTTAGTAAAAACTCCAGACCTCCTGTCAGCTATCCCAGCCACTCATTGAAGAATCACTGACTAACATCCCGTCATTCAAGTTCCAATGCTTCCCCATCACATTCCACATTGGTAACCAAACACAAAATTCCCCAGCATCCTTTGTACACTCAAGGACAATCCAACGCCACATAGCTGCCACCGCGTCGACCCAAGCACACATTGGCCGCATGACACATGTCCATTCTAGAATCCACAAGAACGGAACTCCTAGTCCTATTATGATCTATCACAATCATTCGACAGTCCACAAAAATTCATAGAATAAAACCACTCTGGTAAAAAAAAAAAATGGTTACACCAAGTCCATACATGCACAAGACTCGAAGGAAATGCGTACATGCATCCACTTAGACAAACTGAAAGCAACTGACTAATTCAAACTACAACAGGACTTTCCACACTCACCATCAGGATCAGTTACACATGGATCTTACATTTCCGTTAACACTCAGGGTTCTCAACCCACTTGTGCTATTGAGCAACATGAATCGCACAATATCTATGATGTCCTCAAGTTCATCATGAGCTTCAAGCAACTCATGTTTTCCCCAGTGGTCCATGCCCTACTATCTTCCAGCAGCGTAAATTTTTACACTTCCAAGCTTTCAACCAAAGTTCTGGATTCATGAACTCTTTAAACCCTGCAGTGATTTCACATGTACTCATATAATGCTGCAATCCTGAATAAATGAAACATAAACACTCATATAGTGTTGCAGTCCTGGATACATGAAACAAAGACAGTAATAAAATGCTACAGGCCTGAATACATGAAACACAGACAGATATAGTGCTGTAACACTGCTGCAGTCCTGGATATATGAAACATAGATAATGATCTCTTCTAAAGAGGTCTTGGAGGAGGGCTTGCCACAAGGCTCATCATTGAGCTGTACACTGTTCCTAATCTTTATCAATGACCTGCCAGAACAAATCAAGGCCAAAAAAGCCTTGTACGCTGATGACCTAGCAATATGGCAGAGTCATGAAAATGTGGAAAGTGGAGCCCAAAGACTAAATGGAGACCTTAGAAGACTGTATGAGTACTGCCAAAGATGGAAACTCAAGGTTAACTGTGCAAAGACAGTCTACACTGTCTTTACCAAAAGCCATCAAGTAGCAAGGAAGAATATTAACCTGAGGTCAGACAAACACTAAGTGATGAAAGAAGAGCATCCTACATACCTTGGAGTCACACTTGACCGGCTACTCAGCCTCAAGAATCATATTGAAAACGTAAGGAATAAGGCATTGAGGCGGTTACAGTTATTAAAGAGACTTGCAGGTACATCATGGTAATCAGACAAGGAAACTCTGAGGGGCTTATATCTAGGATATGTTCGCTCTGTGATAGAGTACAACAACTCACTGCTTACAACCTGCTCCAAAACTAACCTAGAGACTCTTGGCAGAGTACAAAATAATGCCCTCCGATTAATCTGCGGAGCTATGCAGTCTACACCAACTGCTGCATGTGAAATCCATACAAATGTAGAACCCCTCGGGTAGCGTAGAGAAAAAGCCACTTTAGAAATTTATGAAAGAAGCGTTAGAAAGAATCGTAACCATCCTAATAGACACCTTGTATAAAACTGGGAATACAAACAAAGAATAAAGCACAAATCGCTTTTACACTGTGTTAATGAAATTCAGGACAGATACCACCTCCCAGAAAGACATCAAGGCATTCAGAATGTTGCAAGAAACCTACCACCACATGCTCGCTTTAAAACTCCAGAAGTCCGAATTAAATTGCTAGGCGAGGAAACCAAACAGTCCGACCCAATCGCTCTTATGAACTCATCACTAAAGGCCATTGATTCTTACCCCCAAAAATGGATACATGTTTATACTGATGGATCTGCATTTAA